TTGTGTAGCCAAGTACTTAATACGCTTTTCATTTGAATTTCTTTATTACTCTGAGGCATTTACATTTGAATTCATACTTTGACTTGACTTCTGTGGTTTGATTCATAATGTAGGATTTTTCCTAGCTTCTGGAAGTTTGAGAGTACTGGAATGCCAGCCTCTTCATAAACTGATAACCTTGTTGTATTGTATTGTTTTCTTTTCTAAAAATTAATCGTCTTCAAAGTATATGTTGCAAGGAAAATTATTTTAAGGAATGAATATTTAGTTTTAAAAAATAGCTCTAATTGAACTGAAAATAATTTGTGAATTAGAAATAGTTTTTAATAGACATGATGATGATTAGGGATTTTCTTTTGATATCAAGGTGTTATTTGCCAGTTGAAATCACTTAAATGTATTTGGGGCAGGTGAAAACTCCTTTGTTGGCAGTGCTAACTTTTTTTAAGGATTTATTTGCTTACATGCTATCTCAGTCTTGCTAATAAAAACATTGTCCTGTTTTTACAAATGTGATGAGCACTAAAGGTGTTGAAGGGAAGGTAAATTTTGTTTTACCCTGTTTTTTATTGTAACTGTCAGTTTATATCGAGCTTATTTCTGAATCCTTCCCCTCTTTGCTTCTGTTTATTTAGCACACAAATATTAATGAGACACATTATTCTTTTTTTAAATTTTATGGGGATTTTATTAATAGATTTTCATGTTTCATGTGGGGTTAAGTCAGTTTCCCCGATTAGCTAAAAAGGGGATGATTTGTTTTTAATATGTGGAAAGGAATTTAGAACTTTATAACAGGCTTGGGAAAACAAGTGAAATGCAGTGTCTGAAACTTTCTAAATTGTGTTTTAAAAAGACAAGTTTAAGTTGACAGTGTTCGACATCTTTATAAAATTAAGTGTGCACAAAGCCTCTTCAAAAATGTGAATATCACCATCCACTTTCACTCATTTTGCAGATATTTTTGGATGAATTGCATGAACATGGGCAGTTGCATTCAATGTCTTCTTGGATGGAGTTGTATCCAACCATAAGCTCTGATATCAGATTCACTAATATGCTTGGCCAACCTGGTAAGGTTATTTCCTACAGAGTTGGAAGAGGAAGTTATGTAGACATTATATAACTAGTCAATTGCCCACCAAGAATGATGGGGACAGAGGGGAGGGGGCTGGGATGGAGTGCTGCCCATAACGCCCCATGCTGCTGCTGTTCTGCTTCTTGCTGGCCTCAGCTTCTCCACCCCCTATCTGGTCATTAGCACTGCTTTGGAATCATACTGGCGCTCCCCAACACTTGAAGCACTCTGATTGGCTGTTTCCATCAGCCAGTCAGAGCGCAAATAAAGCATTATGGACAGACAGACTTAGGCTTTTATAATATTAGAATAGAGCGGAGATAATTGTATATTTTCTAAATTTTAAAAAGTGCATCTTTTCTGTTAGAGCTACCTTTTGACTTGCCTTGTTTTTATTAGGATCGACTGCACTTGATCTTTTCAAATTTTATGTTGAAGATTTGAAAGCACGCTACCACGATGAAAAGAAGATAATAAAAGACATCTTAAAGGTGAGGAAAATTTCCCTTATATTTGCACAACATTATTCAAACTAATTCAACTGATGATGGAACTCTTTGCTTGGAATTGTGTTAGTGTAACTAGAAACCCTGATGTGCATTGGTCCTGATGTAGGGGTTCTGACATACCTGGTATCAAAGAGGTTGTTCTCTTGCAGGATAAAGGATTTATAGTTGAAGTGAATACAACTTTTGAAGACTTTGTTGCAGTCATCAGTTCAACTAAAAGAGCTACAACCTTAGATGCAGGCAATATCAAACTGGCTTTCAATAGTGTAAGTTGTGACATGCCATGTTTTTGACATAATAAAATAGTTTTATAAGTGTTGTCCAAGCCTGTTCCCCTCCCACCTTCCCTCCTCCTGCTTGGGGTATGGGCCCATTTCTTCCTCCCCCCGCATCATCCCACATGAGGCCCTGCAGGCAATGACAACAGAAGTGGGGAGGGGCAGGCTGAGGACAGCACCAGTGGTCTCGCCAGCCCTGGTTTCCTCGCCCCTCTCTCCCCATCATCGCCACATGAAAGGAGCAGGGCAAGAGGGTGTGAGGCCAGCACTGCTGGCCTCCCTCCACTGTTCTGTCCTCTTGGTTGTCCCCGCCTACCACCTCTGTCCGCTGTGTCCCTACCATCATGGCAGAGCTCCACCACTGCCAATTCCTGTTTGAATGCTTCTTCACACTCTGATTGGCTGTTTGTCAGCCAATCAGTGTGTGAAAAAAGCATTACAGATAAACAGATGTAAGCTTTTATATTAGAATGTCTTTTTACTGTAAAATTACCAGTCATAAGACACCCAAAAAGATAATCGTAAGACGCTGTTCCTACTTGATGTCTTTCTTGTCATTAATGGTTTCTAAACTACAAACTGTAAAAGGCAGACTTTTGTTCAAAACTTAAATATCCATCCTTGAAATAAGGTGAGCCCTGTGTTAGGAATTCAGCAGTGTCTTCACACTGTAACTTGATGCTTCCTACTAGTAAATATTGCATGCTGTTACCATCATTCTGAATTGTTAGACCTTAACTGCTTTTGAGATTTTTTTGAGAACAGAACAAATACTGGTTTTAAACAAATAATTGGATAGATGATTTAAATAGACACAAACAGTTAATGCTAGAAAATGCTAGAGCTGAAGTATCTCTGTAGGCTTTACGTCAGAGGTGCACATAGCCAACTGATCATTCTTATTTCACTGTCATTGTCACTTGAATGATTTCATTTTAATTTGCCTTAGCTCCTGGAAAAGGCAGAAGCCCGTGAACGTGAAAGGGAAAAAGAGGAGGCTCGGAAGATGAAGCGGAAGGAGTCTGCATTCAAGAGTATGTTGAAACAAGCTGCACCCCCGATTGAGTTGGATGCTGTTTGGGAAGATGTATGTATTCTGCCATTTTAAAATGCTCAGAAAACCTTAGCTGTTAAATTTTTGAATGCTAACTAACATTTTATAGGTGGCAAATTTTGTAGTCTTCAATTTAGTGTTTGTCCTTTACATTTTACTTTGCACATTAAAATATCTTTGTCATTCCCAAATGAATGTCAGTAGAATTGTCCTCAGTTTGTTTCAGTACTACTTCAAAATGATTATTTTAGAAAAGGTATAGTTTCCTACATTCGTATTATATGGGAGATGAAAGCTTAACCAAAAGTGCTTTGTTCCTGTTACATTGGAACTACTTGTTTACAACTGCTGATTGTTCACCATCCTCCATTTAAATATTTCCTACTGAAACATATTTCAGTGTAGATTTTTTTCTAAGTAATAAAAATTCCCCTCCCAACACCCTTGTTCATAAGAACACAAGCATCAGTTTTGAGAACCATTGTAACAATATGGCACTCTGGTTTTCCTCAAAATTCAATTCATTGTCATGGCTTTTTTCCTCCATTTCCCATTAAACCACACTTCTAGTCATTGGTCTATCATTTGTCTTTTTTCAGAAGAGGGATTATGCTTTTCTTCCCACATGAATTCCTGTCTCCGTCTTCTGTTAAGTGTTTCAAACCAAAAAAGTGTTTCATAAATGAAAACTTGTGGTTGTGTTGTCTGTAGCAGTGGACTAAAAGGAAAAGAGATGCTGTTTCACAGACACTTATGTATAATGAAGAAAATGCAGGGGAAATGTATTGACTATGGGAAATTAAACGGTTTGTTTTTTTGGTGGTTAAATGGGGGCAGGGAACTACCTATTTAACTGCAGCAAAGTTGAATGGTTAAAGTTGTGTTTTATATAAGAACAGATATTTTTTAAAAATTCCCATCTCAAATCATATTTCATATAAGTTGCATGTTTTGCCAAATATATAAAACAAATGGGCTATACAGAAAGAAGTTGAATGTCAAAACCATAGATATAAAAATAATATGGATGATTCAGAGTGCTAAACAATTTGAACACAGTGAACCTGTTGGGGTGAGTATACCCATGGACCACTATAATATATATTTTATTTATGAAATCAGGTCTGTAATGCTTAAGGGCACGACTGTCTTTTTTGATTCATTCATTTCTAATATTAATACTTCATCTTGTGTTCCTTCTTGTTGTGTAGATCAGGGACAGATTTGTGAAGGAACCAGCATTTGAAGACATTACTTTAGAATCAGAAAGAAAAAGAATATTTAAAGACTTCATGCACATATTAGAGGTAACTCAATTTTTATCCCCACATCATTTTTTGGTAGCAATTTCTCATTAAGAATTGAATGACTTGGTAATTTGGCATGGAAAATATATTTCTAAAACAGTATTGAACTGCCTTACTTCATGACACAAATGTTAAAACCTGGACTTAAAGAATTGAAGAGTGTTATAGTTAAACTACTATTTCATGTGTGTGTTTTTAATATGATTGTATTTCAGTTAGCTATTTATGGAAGTTTTGATTGAAAAAGAAGATATCTCATGGGCAGAGTGTTTTCCTTGTTTTAAATTCTTTAAGAAATTTTAGTTATAAAAACCGTAATTATACTCTGAATAATTATTCCATGGAGTTTGGTATTTCTCTCTAACATTTTCCTATATACCATGCTGAGATCACAAGTAAAAGTAGTTGCATTTTTTCTGAATTGGAAATTCAGCCCTGCATTTGAGGCATTCCATGCCTGTGTATTGTCATGCTATGAATGCACTGCAAGCCAGAATCTGGCCTTGGCAACACCAGTCTTCAAAGCAGTTGTATAAGCATACGTGATCAGAATTGATCTTGTGAATGATTCTGATACGCAAGAAGGAATAATATCCAGCTCATTATGTTTCTTAGCTCTGGCTGTAAAAATCAGCAGGTGTACTAATAGCTTTGACAAACAGGAGTCAGAAGATCTATTTTTATGCAAACATAAGTTCTTCTGTTTTGTTTCTGTTTTAATTCCATTGTGTTGGTGTGTGTTAAAAAGAGAGAGAGAGAGACTGGTATATATGTGCACCCCTGTTTGGGGTATGCAAGATATCTCTCAGAGGTATGTGGGAGAAATTGTGTAATGGTGTATTGTTGTTATAATTGGCATTTGAGGGGTTCAGATATAAAACGTATGCTGCTTAGGGTTACGCTGGCAGCTGGTAAATCTGGAAGGGGGTTGCAATAAGAAAAAGTTTGGGAACTTCTGCTCTAGTGGATGCAGTGTGACTTCTGATTTTATATTACACCTCAAACACTTCTCCATTGATAGCTCTTTAATTTTTTTTTAATGCAACTTGTACACTAAATAAAGAATACACATTTTAGGTGTCATCTTGTTTTAAAAATGAAATTGCAAATGAATGTGCACGTCTGCAAGCCTGCCTTTAAACTAGTGTTAAGAGACTAGTAAGCTTTAATTGTGTTCCTTAAAACTGTTATACCTGTGGATTCTTTTATGTTTTAGCATGAGTGTCAGCATCATCATTCAAAGAACAAGAAACATTCTAAAAAATCTAAAAAACATCACCGAAAGCGATCACGCTCCCGTTCGGTAAGCCTTTTTTCTAGAATGTTATGCAAAAACTACTCTTACAGCACATACCCCTCTAGGATAGTGCTCAACTCGGTTTTCTGTTTAAAGGGCTCAGAGTCTGAAGATGATGATAACCATTCAAAAAAGAAGAGGCAGCGTTCAGAATCTAGGTCTGTTTCTGAGCGTTCTTCCAGTGTAGAATCTGGTAAGGGTTGTTCCCCTTCTGCTTTAAGTAAGCTTTGTCACTTTGTTGCTGGGTCTTGGTTTGTAATTGATACTACTTTGCGTTTCCATGTATTGTAGAGAGAAGTTATAAGAAAACAAAAAAACACAAGAAGAAAAGCAAAAAGAGAAGACACAAGTCTGTAAGTATAGATACTATTTTATTGTTGGTCACTGAACAGTTCAACTGCTCTTGCTTTGTGCTGAGCCTTTGTACGTACTTGAAATCAGACCAGCTTTTTTGTTGCTATGTGAAACCAGACAGGTAAGGAGTGCTGGTACTTTATAATAATGTCCCGTTCCATGTGCTTCAAAGTAAATCGTCTGGGAGTGCTCAACTTACATGTTCTAAAGACTTGTTTGTGAAAAGTTTTTAAGGGTCCATTTTCTTAAAATGTTGTAGCAAACACTTGCTGTTACTGTGGTACAGATAAGAGTAGGTAAGGTCAGGAGGTCTCTTTTGCTTTTAATTCATGCCCATGTGCTTAACCATATGCCACAGCTGTTTTGGGAGCTCTGATACCATGTTGAGTAGAGCAGTAAAAAAAGAACCAGAACAACATCCAGGGAAGGACAGCCTGGCTGTTGTCTTTGCTTTTGTGAACATTGCAAGACTAATGAATATGTTGTTCATGGGGAAAAGAAAGTAGTTTGGGTTTACTAGTAAATTATGTAGGAAGCAGGGCAGAGTAAACCTTGGAGACTAACTCGTTCAGAAAGGCACAGGTTTTTGCAGGTGAAAGCCCACTTTGTGAGATGCTGTGGATTATGATGATGCTACAAAACACAAGGTACTTCTGTGTTTTGGTAAATCGCATTTAGCTGCACTCTTGAGACAGGGCATGGATACTGAACTCATTTACACACAAGAGAGATTTCTGACCTACAGTCCTGTTGTTTGAGAAACAGCTGAACCGCTTAGGCTTCACTTTGTGATCCCAGTTATGTTTATTTCAGTTTGAATAAGATGGCTGTCCAAGATCTTGGTCCTCTAATATGTAATTTGGTATCCCACCAAAACCCCAGCAGCATAAAAAGTTTTAGATATGACCTCAGCCATCCAGTTATAAAATTATTTCTTTTTTTGCCATTAGTTACAATAGGAAACACCTTCAGCCTTCTCTAAATGCTGTATGGGATGGATGACTTGGTTAATATAGGTAATGAGAGAGAAACAACTATTACAACCCAGTTCCTTGTACATTGATTAGAAAACAAAAGTAGGACAAGTTCTTCTGTACTCCTTTTATTTTTTGCTGTATTAAAGGTGTAGTAAACATGTTTTCCTTTTTAAAACATTTTTATATGTATTTATACTTTACTTTTTCTTGTGCCATGTTCATGCTGTGTGGCTAGTTTACTTTAAAAGTGAACCAATTCGAAAGAGCCTGCTTCCTTATGTAGCTTATAATGGTGTTCCAGGTCTATAATAACATTCTGTATATCTTACATAGTAAATACAATGCATATGTTGAAACTAACTTTTTATGTTTGCTTACTTACTACACAGGATTCACCAGAATCAGATGCTGAACGAGAAAAAGACAGGAAAGGGGAGAGAGAGAATGAAAAGGATAGAAGTAGACAAAGATCTGAATCAAAGCATAAATCTCCTCCCAAAAAACGGCCTGGAAAAGATTCTGTAAGTTTTTTTGTTTTGTTTTTTCTTGTTTCCTTTTTATTTAATGAACAGGGGTTGGCGTCCTTTTCACCAACAACAGCCCAAATTAACACAACTTGTTCCTGAGAGAGACCAAAGTGGCAATTATTAGATATCCTATCATAAGATGGCAGTGGCTCATTTTTATGCCAGCCTAACCTTAATTATTACCACATTACACAATCCCAGCTGTACTATAAGAATATAAAAATGCATTCATATTAAACACTAATCTACGCAGACAAACTCCAAAATGCAATTGGAGTTGCACCTAGCAAGGGACGGGAAGGGTAACAGAGGTTCTACAAGTATATCAGTAACAAGAGGAGAATCAGGGAAAGTGTGGGTCCATTACTGAATGGGGGAGGCAACTTAATGACAGGGGATGCAGAAAAGGCTGAAGTGCTGAATGCCTTTTTCACCTCAGTCTTCACAGGCAACGTCAGCTCCCAGTCTACTGCACCTGGTAGCACGGTTTGGGGAGAAGGTGAGCAGCCAGCTGTGGCAAAAGAACAGGTTAGGGACTATTTAGAAAAGCTGGACATATCTGAGTTTGTAGGGCTCAACAGGAATGCACCCCAGGGTGCTGAGGGAGTTGGCTGATGTGATTGCAGAGCCACTGGCCATCATCTTTGAAAGCTTTTGGTAATCAGGGCAGACCGTGGATTAGAAAAGGGCAAGCATATTTAAGAAAGGGGAAAAAGGGGGGATCTAGGGAACTACAACCAATCAGCCTTATGCCAGTTCCTGGAAAAATCATGGAGCAGATCCTCAAGGAATCAATTTCTAAGCACTTGAAGGAAAAAAGTGTGATTAGGAACAATCAGTGTGGATTCACCAAGGGCAGGTCATACCTGACCAACCTGATTGCCTTCTATGATGAGATAGATGACTGGCTCTGTGGATGCGGGGAGACAAGTGGCTACAGTGTACCTTGACTTTAGCAAGGCTCTTGATATGGTCTCTGATGTTTTCGCAGGCAAGATAAGGAAGTATGGGCTAGACTGTAAGGTGGATAGAAAACTGCGCGGATCATCGGGTTCAGAGAGTTAGTAGCCAGTGACTCAATGTCTAGTTGGCAGCCAGTATCAAGTGGAGTACCCCAAAGGTCTTTCCTGGGGCTGGCTTTGTTCAGTACCTTGCATCAGTAATCCAGAAGATGGTAAAGAGTGCACCCTCAGCCAGTTTGCAGATGACACCAAGCTAGGGGAGTAGTAGATATACTGGAGGATAGCATTAGGATTCTTAGGATGAAACAATCCCATGCACTGCACAGGCTGGGGACTGGCTAGGCAGCAGCTCTGCAGAAAAGGACCTAGGAGTTGTAGTGGACAATAAGATTAACGAGCCAGCAGTGTGCCCTTGTTGCCAAGAAGGCAAACAACCTGCTGGGCTGCATTGGTAGTAGTATTGCCAGCAGATCAAGGGAAGTGATTGTTCCCCTCTGCAGCACTGGTGAGGCTACATTTGGAGTACTGTGTCCAAAGCAAGTAGAGAAATTGGAGAGTGTGCAGTGGAGGACAATGAAAATTATTTGGGGGCTGGGGCACATGATTTCTGAGGAGAAGCTAAGGGAACTGGGCTTATTTAGTTTGGAGAAGAGAAGACTGAGGGGGGATTTAATAGCAGCCTTCAACTGCCTGAAGGGGGATTCCAAAGAAGATGGAGCTGGACTATTCTCAGTGGTGGCTGATGACAACAAGGAGCAATGGTCTCAAGTTGCAGCAGGGGAAAAGTTTAGGTTAGATAGGAAAAAACTAGGAGAGTAGTAAAACACTGGAAAAGGTTATCCAGAGAGGTTGTGGAATCTCCATCTTTAGAGATTTTTAAGATAAAGCCCTATCTGGGATGATCTAGTTGGGACAGGCCCTGCTTTGAGCAGGGCTAGATGACCTCTCCTAAGGTCTCTCCCACTTCTAATTTTCTATGATTCTATAGTTTCATAGTAGGTAGGGTCAGAAGGGACCTGAGCAGATCATCGTCTGACCCCCTGCCATGGGCAGGAAAGAATGAAGCATGACAGAGCTAAACACTATATATTAGCTATAAGCAGAGATTACACACTAGCAGCAGTCCTGGTTCATGAAGCAATCTATGCATGTATTCCACAACACCCCCAAAATGTTGTGGGTCTCTGACACCCTCAGAGTTCTTTTCTTAGTACCCAATCACCATTTTCCTTTCTGTAATTCATGGGCATTGTACCTTGTCCTGTCCCCTGCAGTCACAGAAAATTAATACATCTTTACCTTCCTTTCCTCCTCTCTTCCCTACTCCTCCCCCCTATTTTCCCTGTTTTTCATATTTAAATGACCTTATTCCTTTCTATTTAGTACCTCTGCCTCCTTTCTGCAAGTCCATTCATAGCACCTGATGGAGTAGGCTGTAGCCTATCATCTATGAAAGCTTATGTCTCTGAATATGTTAGTGCCACACTGCTCTGCCTTCTGCCTAACTGCCTCCATATCTTCCATATAACCATCCTTCAGGTATCTGAAGACTGTATCAAATCCCACTCCTTTAGAGTCCTCTTCTCCAGAGTAAATGATCCTAGTTCTTTCAACCTTTCCTCACAATCCATATTTCTGAGGCTTCTAATAATTTTTGTTGCTGTCCACTGGACTTTTTAATTTGTCCACATCTTAAAATGCATGCTCAAAACTAGACACCATATTCCAGGTAAGGCATCACCAGCATCAAATAAGAGTGGGATAAAAGTGACCACAAACAATATTTTCTGAAGTTACGAAAGCTGAAGAGTATTTTCATATTAACTTGTATATAGCATGCATTCCTTCTGGAGATCAGCTGATCAGTGGCCAGCTGATACCCTACAAAGTTCACTCTTGCACAATGGTACATTAACTAGGCAACTTAATATGGCTCAAATAGACTTTATTAGCATAGCACTAATAATTTGCACATTAAGTGGCAGCTTCATACATCTTCTAAAGTCAAAAGTTAGGTTCTGAGCAAATCATAACAGAGTAAGGCAAGTAAGAGGCAGTAAAACTTGGGAAGTTCCTTTGTTTTAGGACGTTTGACAACTAGCTTCATAGTGTTCTTTGGTAAGTGTCAGTTGGACAAAGAGAGAGAGACATTGTGTCTTAAGGGGGAGAATTCTTTTTCCTGACTCCCCATTAGGCTGAGGATACCAAAGCTGGATGTGTATCAAACAGATGGGCCACATGTTTCAGTACAATTTTAAGATTGTCCTCAGAACAGGACTGACATCTCTGTAGATGCAACTTCTTAAAACTGATATTTAGTAATGTATTTGCCACAAAACTGAAAATGAGGTCCATTTATATTAATAGAACAATTTGCATGTGTACCATTGTCTACATAAGTAGGATACAAACAGTGTTTTATCCACTGTCCCCACTATCTCCGATCCACCTTATTGCTTGGTGTGGAAAATGGCTTGAACATCAGAGCTTGTAGAGCAGCCTGTTTCTTTGTAGGGCATCTGTAGGAGGACTCTTGAGTACTTCTGGCACAGGGATCAGTGAGCCCCAACACATGCACCAGAGAATGGCATGTGAGACCAGCATGCCACAGCTGACCCAGGCTCTGGGCAACTGCCATCAGCCCCGGACTCTGGGCTGCTCGCAGCAGGTGGCAGGGAGGCTGTAAGTCCTGCTGCGAGCAGCCCAAGCTCTGTGGCAGGCAGCAGCTGCCCAGAGCCCAGGCTGGATGTGGTAGGCAGTCAAGAGGCTGCAAACAGCTGCACTGGGGTCTGGAGCCCTGACTGGGCTCTGCAGCAGTGGTGGGTGCACACACACCTTGAGATGTACAGCCAGGAAGAGGCCAGAGGCAGCACAGCCCTTGCCCACTGTGTGCCCCTAGATGTGCTTATACCTACCATAAAGCTGGGGCTGGGGCTCCAGATTCCGGTGCAGCTGTGGCAGGCAGTAAGGAGGCTGCAAACAGCTGCACCAGGCTCCAGCTGGGCTCTGTAGTGGCAGCAGCTGCACACGTCTCAGGGCAGACAGTGGAAGAGGGATGGGGGTTGACTGCCGCAGGCCCCTTCCCAGTCAGAGCTCAGTGCAGCTGTTTGCAGGCTCCTGGCTTCCTGGCATAGCTGGCCCATGTTCTGGGCAGCTGTAGTAGGTGGCAGAAAGGTGGCTGCTCCATGGTGATGGTGGGTGCTCATGTGTCTCAAGGTGCCTGGCAGAGGCCAGGTGTGGAAAATGGCTTGAACATCAGAGCTTGTAGAGCAGCATGTTCCTTTGTAGGGCACCTATAGGAGGACTCGAGTGCTTCTAGCACAGGGATCAGTGACCCCCACTGATTCGGACATAGACATAGCTTTAAAAGTTTTTTTTACATACCTCAAGGCACCAGTGTGACTTGTGAATACTGCAATGCTGGGGTGCATGGAGTGTCCCACAGGAGTGAAAGGAGCCCTCCACATGCTTGGTGGTGGATCAGAAGTATGTCCAGTCCACTTCCAGGTCTGCTGGGGAGCACACTGGGAGTGCCCCCTGGCTCAGTGATCGGCCATGGAAGGGGGACACCCTGGGTACCCCCCTCCGACCCAGGAGGCACCATTTGCTGAGCTGGGGGTATGGGGGTGGCCCCCAGCGTGCTCCCAGGCAGACCCAGAAGTGCTTCTGGTCCACTTCTGGGTCCGCTGCCAAGCGTGGGGGGCTCCCCAGCATGCTTCTGTGAGACGCTCCATGTGCCCCCACCTCTCAGCATACCTTGAGGTATGTAGAAAAAACATTTAAAGCTGTGTCTATCTCCAAATCTCTCCAGAGGGTTCCAATTGGATTCAGAGAGATTAAAGGGTCCTCTGATTCAGTTCTGAGATTTGGCCATCGAATCAGCCTAAATCTATGCCAAAACAAATCAGGGACTGAAGCTTCACACAGCGCTAGTGTACATCTCATGCACGCTGTGCTCCGTATGGATGTAATGTAGTCACTGTTAGCATGGTACCTGGTTTATGGCATGCCAGTAAACGTGCCTGAAGAGCTTTTTGCACCGTGATGCCAGCTCACCACAAAGTGATTACATTACATCCTTCTGGGTTGTAGCATGCATGGTAGAGCCAGGCATATTGTGCTTCACTCCAGTGCTCCCTAGCTTGGTTCTTTGGTGTGCACATGCTTTAGGACACTTGAAACACCAGTTGTCCAAGTAGACAACATGCCACAGTGCCATTTTCTTTACTGGTCTAGGGATGGAAAGTTTGTGATAGATAGACAAGAATGTATGTCTACTGAGAAAAATTACAGGTAATTGTGGCTATCTTGCAGAGTGAGACTTGTACAATTCCTAGATCCTCGAGTGTGTGTTTATTTTCTTTACGTGTAAACTCCTTTAAATGTGTTTATATTCCCTTTAATTTTCTCACCCTGTTTTGTAATGAAGATCCGAAACCAGTAACAAAATATGAAATACTTCCTGTGGGTGAGTTGTATGTTTTATATATGAAGTGTTCTTGCCATAATCAGTGCACTTCCTTGCAGGGTAACTGGGATACTTCCGGCAGTGAACTGAGTGAAGGGGAATTGGAAAAACAGAGAAGGACCCTTTTGGAACAACTGGATGAAGATCAATGAGAGAATTATTTATACCAAATATGTTTACAGTATGACTTAATAAAATAAACCGATGTCTAATTCAGGATATGGGTTCTAATATGCTGGATATGAGTCCCATTGTTGAAATAACAGTGGGTTTAAATTTTACTGCATCAAGAAATACATTCAAGTACCACTCTGGCAGGCCTGGCATCAAATCAAAACAGAAAAGGAAATTCAGAGTTAAAGCTGAAATTCTGTTCTTAATTGGCTGGATAGCACGTATCCTTTTTACATCATGGAACTATTTGCAGGGTTTAATGTGATTAATGGAAGACATTTCACTTTTGAACTCTGGGTTCTACTTACAATGGCCAGGGGAAGTACTGGCACCTTTCTAGCAGAACCACATCCTAAACACAGTTCTTCCTAGAAAGGTACTAAACCTAGTTCTTCTGGCCAGTGTGGGTGAGTTAAATTCTCCTCTTTAGAAAAAGAGATCCGTAATATAGTTTCTTGTGGTTCAACTTGCTTTGTGGGTTTGTTCTTATTTTTTGAAAGACGGGGGGCTGGAAAGGGGAGGGGAATAATGAATCCATTTCTTAACTTACAGTACAAAAAAGAATCCACAATTGAAGCTGCTGTTTGGGTATCACATGACTGGCCAAACTGATGGTTTTGATAATTTGTATTAAAGTAATGTTTTAAACCCCTGCAAAAAGGTGCTTATGATGAAAATGTGATAGGTAGGCCCTTCATTACAGTGGCACTAGAGGACACTGCTGTAATATAGCTATCATTTGTATTGAAGTAATACCTGATAAATGGCTAAGGGCATTATTTCAGCATTTATTGTCATGTTAAGGAAATTTAACAGAAATCAAATTGTAAATTTATTTCAATATGTTGCCTTAATCTGCTGAAGAATGTACCACCAAATTTTTAGTAGTAGTTGCAATACTCATGTCTAGAAAATCTTTTTTTTTTTTTTTTTTTTTTTTTTTTTTTTAATAACCTCTGCTTGGAGGAAAATTCCATCATCCCTTTTCAGTGACAGATATTAACTACCGTGGTACACATTCTGAAACCTTTCTGATTTGAATATTTTTGTACATTTTTATCGATTATTAAACCTTGTCTTCAAGCGTGTACTAGTATTTATTTCTAGTATTAAATACTCTGTACAGCTCTGATTAAACAAAAAAATCAGTATCATCTGATTGATGAGCAACACGTTGCCTCAGTATTTTGAAGACTATATCTACAGTTCAGCTTCTTCAGTGTACATGAATCCCTTTCCCTAATGCAGCTGGCTGATCGTACCAGTATATATTACCAGCATTATATATAGTTGGGTTACTAGTATACCCAACAGCCCCAGTTGTTTGAGCTGTATCCTTATAACTTCTGCATTCACACAGCATATTTTATCAATAGGTTGGTTAAGTGAATTCCTAAGGTTATGTAGAAACTTTTCATTTGAAAGAAAATCTCCATGTTACAAATGTGTTCTGCTCTGTTATTAAGGAAGAAACTACTGCATTATTTTTTTTAAAAAATGATCTACTACGCACACGGGTCAGTAGATGGAGCACTTCTCATGTTTTTGCCATCCAGCATAAGCTTAAGTCACTGGTCACTATGTAACATGTTACTAATCACTCATTACTAAAGAAGTACTTCACCTGAGTTGTGGCCAGCCTAAGAATCCTAAGAAATTGCCTTTCGTATACAGTGAAATGTCATGTTAATAGCAAAGGAAGTATGAAAGTGATTATTTAGTGCATGTTAACACCACCATGTAATTCCAGAGAGCTTATAAAGTGTAAAAGATAATGCATAGTCAGATAATGGATAGTCCTGTCCCTACCATGGAGGTCTATGGTTCTAGCTCAGGTATGCCA